GGCGGGGGACACCAGAAATGGGCTTCACACATTGTACCCATGTCGAGAATCGAACCCGGGTCTTTGGCGTGACGAGCGAACGCTTTAACCACTAGGCTACCCGACCGCCCCTATCAAAATAAAGAAAATGTGAGTAATATGTAACATTCAGTCAACTGCTGTGAATAGCTTTCATGATTCAAACTATCAAACGTGTCGCACAATGTAGATTATGCGTGTCCATTCACAGTTTATATATAAAACACGGACCCTCCAAGCCAATAACTTGCATCACCATACTTTGCAGGCCATTGTGACGTCATCGTCACTATGACGTCACAATCAAATAACATCACTAATTTCACTGCTACTGAAGCTGGTTACTGTACTTTGTTACAATCAAGGCTGTTTACAATCTGAGAAAGTTGGAAGAATTACTTTGGATGACAATTAGAATCTCACTTTCATGTCTTTGATATCAAATATATCCACACTCGATAGAAGTCTCTCACTTTTGTCGACTTTCGTTGTTATTCACTGTCGGGAAATGGAAAGTATACATCCATTTTTGAAGATGGCTAAAATCAAATATTTTCTTTAATTTGAAGTTTACACGATATAGAGGGTTTTTTACCATTGGACGAGAGGTCGGTCACATGACCGCGAAGTTGACGTTCATACGTGTATGAACGACACAATTTGACGTTCATACGTTTTTTACGAGACCGTGTTTTTGAAATGACGTAAACACTGACGGACTACTTCCACATTCATACATACAGAAGCGTCGTTTCTGATCATTTAGAGCCTTTAATCTTGAACTCAGCGTTTTGGCATACGTTGAGATAAGTCAGAGTGTTTGATTGCATGTCCGTTCAAGGATATCATCGCTAGAACTCATCTTAGAAAACAAAACGAAGAAAAGCGCATTCAAACTACCGTAGCGACTTGGAGACTTCGGAAATCTCTCCCGTCACGTTTATCGCATCGGCCATTTTGACGTCTTGGACTTCATGTAAGCAAACTCCGTTCATACAGTTACATATGTAGGCCCTCACTCTATGAATGCTTTGGGCGGTCGGGTAGCCTGGTGGTTAAAGCGTTCGCTCGTCCAGTCGAATACCCGGTTTCGATTCCCGACATGGGTACAATGTGTGAAGCCCATTTGTGGTGTCCCCCGCCGTGATATTGCTGGAATATTGCTAAAAGCGGCATAAAACCATACTCACTCACTCACTCACTCACTATGAATGTTTTGGTCAAATGCAATTTCAAGTGTATGCTTTCTTTTGCCCGGTAGTGTATTTCACATCAAAAGACCCCCAAGACACTGAGGTGAGGCGATCTACATACGACCTTGACCGATCTGTGATGGTGTAGGGTTGCACGTGAAGAACGTATATTGTTCGTGTTTCATTAAATCTTTAATGAGCGTCAGTTTGGAGATACACGGCATCACAATCAATATCCATCAGTTATTTCAGCGTACGACCTCATTGTTGGAAATGTCAGCTGACTCCTCCGCTCGGATGACTATAAATGTTAAGGGTCGTGATTGGGTCACGAAAAATGAGACGCCTCCGCGTAGGAATAACACTTGCTAAAGGTTACACTTATTCTAAACTGGGCTCCGTCTCTTCATAACATATATAGTAGAGTTCCAATCGGGTTCGAATCCACACTACAGTCGAGGGACTGTTATCATTACTTCCCGAATGTAGCGCTGATAATGCTTAGAACCATGAGGTTGCTTGACCAAGGCTCTGGCATTATTGTGAACACGCCTTCACGCTGGTACATTGATGTCTGTGACTCCCCAAGTTGACCCGTGAAGATCCGGGTTAGAATAGGTCTTCAGCAACCCATGCTTGTCGTAAAAGGCGACTGACGGGTTGGGTGGTCAGGCTCGCTGACATGGTTGATGCATGTCATCATATTCCAATTGAGTGGATCGATGCTCATGGTGTCTATCACTGGATTGTCTGGTCGACACACGATTATTTACAGACCGTTGTCATATATCTGGAATATTGCTGAGTGCGGCGTTAAACAACAAACAATCACAATCAATCAGTCCCCAAATTATGTTGTTTAACAACCTCCCCCCTCCTAGTCGATACACGTAAGCAGTGTATGTTTATGTTTTCTTTCATTGGGGTATTTTGGGATAGTTTTTTTTAATGGAGTGAGAGTATCCGTTATCTTTGCATATTCATGTCACGAATACCACCGACTGGGCAGGATACACTCACCTTCTCGCGAACACCTGGTTTCATCACTATTTGAAAGTGATTCATAAACACATGCTCATGATATAGTCAGCATCCTACAACTGACTCTGCTTCAGCAGCTATTTCTTATGATTATGGAGATGGTTGTGTCGTTTTTATGTACATCAACAGGCACTCATAAGACACACTTGGCTGTTAAATATTTATAAGTTCTCAGCCAAACTGTCCATAACAAGGGGACGTTAAGTCTGCTGGCTGCTGGCTGACTTCCGGCGCGACTACCGAAACTGGGCGTACTTCCGGTACAAGATATGCCTCGAGTATGTCCGGGTAAGGGTTAATGCTTAATGTCGACCCAGAAACAAGAGACTGTAAGTTACATATACGTCCACTACAATATTGTCATGTCACCCACGTCAATGGTCGTAGCACTGTTGTCATATTATCCACGTCAGTGGTCAATATTGTCATATCCTCCACATCAATGGACACTATTGTCATATTTCTTTTTATTCAATTCAGTATATGATATTACAGAGTAATACATTGAGTAGCACGTCATGTGGTATACTTATTGGGTGGAGGTTACATACCTATACAGCAGACAGCAACATTTAAGTTGGCTACAGGTGTCCAACAATGTTTACGAATGGTGAAACGAGCAGGCTACATTTGCCATGTTTATTAACGAAGTTTGAAGCTAAATCCTTACAGCTCATTAGTGGAAATTGTTCATGTTAAAAAAAAATAGATGATCGTAACACTATTGTCATATCACCCACATCAATAGTCGTGACACTATTGTCATATCACCCACATCAATGGTCGTGACACTATTGTCATATCACCCACATCAATGGTCGTGACACTATTGTCATATCACCCACATCAATGGTCGTGGCACTATTGTCATATCACCCACATCAATGGTCGTGACACTATTGTCATATCACCCACATCAATGGTCGCGACACTATTGTCATATCACCCATATCAATGGTCGTGACACTATTGTCATATCACCCACATCCATGGACACTTTTCATATCACCCACATCAATGGTCGTGACACTATTGTCATATCACCCACATCAATGGACACTATTTTCATATCACTCACATCAATGGTCGTAACTCTATTGTCATATCACCCACATCAATGGTCGTGACACTACTTTTGTCATATCACTCACACCAATGGTCGTAACACTATTGTCATATCACCCACATCAATGGTCGTGACACTATTGTCATATCACCCACATCAACGGTCGTGACACTTTTGTCATATCACTCACACCAATGGTCGTGACACTATTGTCATATCACCCACATCAATGGTCGTGACACTATTGTCATATCACCCACATCAATGGACACTATTTTCATATCACTCACATCAATGGTCGTAACTCTATTGTCATATCACCCACATCAATGGTCGTGACACTACTTTTGTCATATCACTCACACCAATGGTCGTAACACTATTGTCATATCACCCACATCAATGGTCGTAACACTATTTTCATATCACCCACATCAATGGCCGTGACACTCTTATCATATCACCCACATCAATGGACACTATTTTCATATCACCCACATCAATGGTCGTGACACTGTTGTCATATCACCTACATCCATGGTCCTAACACTATTGTCATATCACTCACACAAATGGTCGTGACACTGTTGTCATATCACTCACACCAATGGTCGTGACACTATTGTCATATCACTCACATCAATGGTCCTGACACTGTTGTCATATCACCCATATCAATGGTCGTTACACTATTGTCATATCACCGACATCAATAGACACTATTGTCATATCACCCGCATCAATGGTCGTGACACTGTTGTCATATCACCCATATCAATGGTCGTGACACTTTTGTCATATCACTCACATCAATGGTCATGAGACTATTGTCATATCACCCACATTAATGGTCGTGACACTTTTGTCATATCACCCACATCAATGGTCGTGACACTACTGTCATATCCTCCACATCAATGGTCGTAAAACTATTGTCATATCACCAACATCAATGGACACTTTTGTCATATCACCCATACCAATGGTCGTGTCCTTTTATCTTCCACATCTTTTGCTAATAATACCTATGGTCTTGTTTTAGGTTTCTTGACAAACGAGCCGTATTGGATTTGTATATACTTACACTTACACTCACTCACTCACTCACTCACTCACTCACTCACTCAAGCAAAGCTCCATTCTTTTTATACCACCACATGAGCTGCAATCGAATCTTACTGGGTAATGTTGGGTAGCCTCTTTGTGAAAGCATTGGCTTGTACCCCACGTCGGTACAAATTGTACACACACACACACACACACACACACACACACACACACCCACACCCCCCTCGATCGATATGGCTGGAATGATCGTAAAAAGGGTGTGTAACCTCACTCACTCACTCTCTTCATACCATACACTCACTAAACACCATATTATGATCTATTCTGTTTATACCACAACGCGCGCTATGATGGGGTCTTAGTTCTGCAATATCACATGATTTTTGTACGTTTCCTCCCAAAAGTGCAGTTCACTTTAATGGCTGATTAGACATGATCGGTCAGCATATTACAAACGAGAATCGCGGTCTTAAATCGGCCAACACAGTGCACAAATATAGTTGGCATGCAAATTACGTGGAAGTTATCTGGTAAAATTTTAAATTGTTCAATGACTCATCCGAAGATTTTCTGCTTCACGTGACAAGTAATTAAAAGTAATTTTAGAAGTGACATTAGATCTGAAGGGTGTGAATGGCTCCTGTGGATGGCTCCTGTGAATGGCTCCTGTAATTGGCACCTGTGGATGGCTCCCGTGGAAGGCCCCTGTGGAAGGCTCCTGTGGGTGACTCCTGTGGATGACTCCTGTGGAAGGCTCCTGTGGATAACTCCTGTGGAAGGCTCCTGTGGATGACTCCCGTGGATAACTCCCGTGGAAGGCTCCTGTGGATAACTCCTGTGGAAGACTCCTGTGGATGGCTCCTGTGGATGACTCCTGTGGGTGACTCCTGTGGGTGACTCCTGTGGACAACTCCCGTGGAAGGCCCCTGTTGAAGGCTCCTGTGGATAACTCCTGTGGATGACTCCTGTGGAAGGCTCCTGTGGATAACTCCTGTGGATGGCTCCCGTGGATGACTCCTGTGGATAACTCCTGTGGAAGGCTCCTGTGGATAACTCCTGTGGAAGGCTCCTGTGGATGACTCCCGTGGATAACTCCCGTGGAAGGCTCCTGTGGATAACTCCTGTGGAAGACTCCTGTGGATGGCTCCTGTGGATGACTCCTGTGGGTGACTCCTGTGGATGACTCCTGTGGGTGACTCCTGTGGGTGACTCCTGTGGACAACTCCCGTGGAAGGCCCCTGTTGAAGGCTCCTGTGGATAACTCCTGTGGATGACTCCTGTGGAAGGCTCCTGTGGATAACTCCTGTGGATGGCTCCCGTGGATGACTCCTGTGGATAACTCCTGTGGAAGGCTCCTGTGGATAACTCATGTGGAAGGCTCCTGTGGATGACTCCCGTGGATAACTCCCGTGGAAGGCTCCTGTGGATAACTCCTGTGGAAGACTCCTGTGGATGGCTCCTGTGGATAACTCCTGTGGAAGACTCCTGTGGATGGCTCCTGTGGATGACTCCCGTGGATGACTCCCGTGGATGACTCCTGTGGATAACTCCTGTGGAAGGCTCCTGTGGATGACTCCCGTGGATGGCTCCCGTGGATGGCTCCCGTGGATGACTCCTGTGGATAACTCCTGTGGAAGGCTCCTGTGGATGACTCCCGTGGATGACTCCTGTGGATGGCTCCTGTGGATGACTCCCGTGGATGGCTCCTGTGGAAGGCTCCTGTGGATGACTCCCGTGGATAACTCCTGTGGAAGGCCCCTGTGGAAGGCTCCTGTGGATAACTCCTGTGGATGACTCCTGTGGAAGGCTCCTGTGGATAACTCCTGTGGATGGCTCCCGTGGATGACTCCTGTGGATAACTCTTGTGGAAGGCTCCTGTGGATGACTCCTGTGGATAACTCCTGTGGATAACTCCTGTGGATGACTTCTGTGGAAGGCTCCTGTGGAAGGCTCCTGTGGATGACTCCTGTGGATGACTCCTGTGGAAGGCTCCTGTGAATGGCTCCTGTGGAAGGCTCCCGTGGAAGGCTTCTGTGGAAGGCTCCTGTGGATAACTCCTGTGGATGACTCCTGTGGACGGCTCCTGTGGAAGGCTCCTGTGGAAGGTTCCCGTGGAAGTCTCCTGTGGAAGGCTCCTGTGGAAGGTTCCCGTGGAAGGCCCCTGTGGATAACTCCTGTGGAAGGCTGACTCCTGTGGACGGCTCCTGTGGATGACTCCCGTGGACGGCACCTGTGGAAGGCACCTGTGGATGACTCCTGTGGACGGCTCCTGTGGAAGGCACCTGTGGAAGGCACCTGTGGATAACTCCTGTGGAAGGCTCCTGTGGAAGGCTCCTGTGGATAACTCCTGTGGAAGGCCCTTGTGGAAGGCTCCTGTGGAAGGCACCTGTGGATAACTCCTGTGGAAGGCACCTGTGGAAGGCTCCTGTGGAAGGCCCCTGTGGATAACTCCTGTGGAAGGCTCCTGTGGATAACTCCCGTGGATGACTCCTGTGGACGGCTCCTGTGGATGACTCCTGTGGACGGCTCCTGTGGAAGGCACCTGTGGATGACTCCTGTGGACGGCTCCTGTGGAAGGCACCTGTGGATAACTCCCGTGGAAGGCCCCTGTGGAAGGCCCCTGTGGAAGGCTCCTGTGGAAGACTCCTGTGGATAACTCCTGTGGACGGCTCCTGTGGGTGACGCCTGGCATTATTGTTTACAGCCATCAGAAGGGGATGTTTTCTAGATAACTACTTTCAAATTACTTACTACTAAGTGTATGACACAGATGTTCTAACTCAGCATTTACTTGATGATCAAGTGACCCTTGGTCACTCGCCGGGTAAGTTTTCGCTTTGACGAGTGTGTGCATAGCCGTGAGGGTGGGGTCGGGGGCGTGGTGGGGGTGGTTCAATCTTCATTGAAGGAAGGGAAGGTGATAGTTGGGCCTATGGATGGAGTGGGTTCCCATTTAAAAATTACCGTCGTAACCAACCCACCACCACCCCCGCTCCACGCATCCGTCATTGCTAGCGTTGAGCAGTGAGTCGACTCACGACGCTAAGACTAGTTAAAAGGAGATTCTCTAATCGAGGGTAAATGTCTCACATAATCATAGATATACCCAGTCAG